CAGGCGGCAACCTGAGACCTCGCTGTTGACAACAACCATAGCCGGCCCAGTCTGAGTCTGCCATAGCTGGGGCATCCTCGGCGCATCTACCCTGGGGGTATCTGCGTCTGGCCGGGCTATATCGGGGCTCTACATTGTGTACTCGTGGGTGGTGGCAGCCATAGTTGCCTGTTCCTTCGTCAGAGTTGTCCATCGGCACTGAAGACTTCATCGCAGGACTTGTTCTTCATCAGGGTGGTTGGCGCTGGCCTCTGGGAGGCCATTCTGATGTGGCGCTACTAACTGGGTGTAGGATAGAGAGTGGGGTGTGAGTTCCGAGAGTGGCGAGATACTGGAACAAACTCTGTTACGATAATTGTTTGAGTGGCTCATCATCAGTCCAATTTCAATTGTTATCCTCGCAGGTTCTACTTGTGATTGGTTGTTGGGAGTTGTCAGAGAGAGAGAAACACTGTGTCTTCTCCCCATCTGTGCATAGCTGTATTCCGCTGCCTACTCTGATCTGTGTGCAGTGTGGACTCTGTCTCCTCTCCCCCTTCTCTTATGCATGTATGGGCGTGTATGAGATTGTCTGTGTGTGAGTGGCGGTAAAAATGGTCAGACAACCAAGTTCATAATAGAGAGCTTGGTGACATTTGGATCCAGACTCAACATTGGGATTATTTGGGACTTGTAATGAGCCTTGGTGTTGACGACTTTCCCATCTCTCCCTTCCTCTTCTCCATCTGATCCCCTCCTCTTCGTCTGTGCATGAACTGGACCTGGCGCCTCTTCCTGTGTATAGCGCGAGGCTCCCTTCACACCGTATGGTGAGAATGATGTATGTTTGGTCTGCGTTGTAACATTGATTGGGCTAGTCATTAGTATTCTAGTATTCTGCTGCGCTATCTTGTACTATGTGAAAGAGGTCAGTCCCGGTCAGGTCAGGACTTAAGAGTCTTCACTGCTTGTTGAGATTTCACTTGCACTGCATTATCCATTCAGTCCTTTTCATCACATTGTGGATCCTTGGTTTATATGTACATCACCCAACTGGGCATGTAACATGCGTCGTGCCAGGGTTTGGGCACCGCTCCGCAGATCACTCCACGAGATGAGGTCCAGGAGCCGAAATTAAGTGCGGCAGTCGTGATACATGACCGTTTTGTAAGAAGCACGGGCTCAGGGAAAGGAGGAGCTGAAGACAATCACAACATCAATAATGAAGAAGAAGTTGACATGAGCTTTACTTTCATGGTGTTATCAACTTCCTCCAGGCACTCCCTCAACGCATACTGTCGAGGAACCCAATCCTTCTGCTCATACACCACTCAGATTGAGGATGAACTCTATTGCATTCTACTTCTTTATGCTAATCTACACCATACCAACCCCTCTGCGTGCGCTCATCCAGGGCAGTCACCAAATGCCCATACGAGCCTTCAACCCGAATAATCCGAAAAACCCTCAGCCTTGTTCTGAAACGCTAGGCCTTGGTTGGCCACCACAGGGTGCAGTTCTCAGAACCGATGGGCGTATTCTACAAGCCACAAACAAAATAAAATAAAAATAAAATTAATAATAAAAGATCTTTTATCCGTTTCCAATAGGCACTTCCAAGAGGTCGCGTTATGGTGCGAAGCACAGAACGTAAGATCACTGCCTTTCTTTTTCCACAGTGATCTTTCAGCTTCCCACTTTCATTGATTTCACGCGCAGTGTGTTTTTTTTGTTGAGTTCCGGATACACATAAACAAAAACCAATAGTACTGGCAACGTATCCTGCATAAATACGACGTATCCTGCATAAATACAAGGAGGATGTACAGGGTTGAATTCTTTTCCCGAATCAGTGCTTAAAAAGGAAATTTGAAGAAAAGGATTGGAGGTCCAGGCAACCTCAGGACACGAAGTGGGTGAAGCCGAAGGCCTGACTTTAGTGAGTCCACGCAAGAAGAGACATTGGATCTCGTACTCGACTAATTATGTACTAGAAAAAAGAGTTTCTGTTTTCGTCTTGGGACATGGGAGCCTGTGGCATACTGCGTAGCCACACGGGCCCTGCAGGGCCCGTCCCGGACATTCAGCCTAAAAGCCTAAAACTTAGGGTTTACAGGCCCCGTTCGTTTCAGCCTGGATGCTGAAAAATGAGGGCCTGCAAGCCCTACCTCGTTTCAGCCTATTTCTGGGTCTTTTCAGACCCAGAGTTTTCAGCTTGAAACGGAGGGCCATTTTCAGGCCCTCATTGTTTCGACCTGCCCCTAAGACTCAGGCACGGAAACAGGGATGCGGAACAGGCCCAAAATAGCCTGTTCCTCACGT